ATTACATTTGGACAAAATGCAGTAGCTCAAAGTGACATCATTTTTAAATACAAATGGCTAAAGARTGGCTAAAACGTCACTCGCCTGGATTCAACTCTTTTTCCCAGAGAAGTTCACGCTCTTAATTTGATTTTATGACTAAAAGCTTTTCTTAGGTCGTAACTAGAGACCCAATTTGTCTTTTAGACTGCGTAAAAGGCAACAATTATTCAATTGTGTAAATATGTTATATTGTGTGCACGGTTCCTGAATTATAAAAAATATTTGAAAAAATAAATRACGACTTTTAATTGTTGCTTCTAAAATATAATGTTGCTATTCACTGTCAAATGTACATCCTGTGGATATTTAGTTTTAGTTCACTGTGAGACAAACTGTTTAAAATAATTTCTAACAAAAATAAATGTATTCAACAACTTTACCATATCTACAATAATAACTAAGAAATGCATGTAAGGAAATTTCTTATTTATCAGGAATTTGTTAAATTTAAGATGCTTTTATCAATAGACTTTATCAAACTTAAATGTATTTATTTTAAATTCTACTGTTTAAAATGATTTGGAAAATGATCAGCGGAAATATAAATACATGTACAATGTAGCAAAAGAACAAACAAAAATCTAAAAGAAATAAATCAGTTTTTAAAGCTACAATCATTTTTAATGCTTGTTTTATGCCATTTCTGCCAAGCACRGAATAAAATTACTGTGTAAACAATTCAAGACAGTGCATACAGGAACACTTTGACAACTCATGGTATGTAAAGTTCAACTCACCGTCTGCAAACATAAGAGAGCAGTAAGAAATGGAAAAAAAAAGAACAAAAACAAGCAAAATAGACAAAGCATTTATGACAGCATGACATTATACTGCTGCTACTTGTTCTAAAAAGAGTGTTTTACAATATTTTTTACACTACAGTGCAGTTGTTGACAAACAGAGATGGGGTCTATTTATGAACATTAAAATGAAAAGCAGACTGTGACGGCTACATAAACAGCTAAAAGAAATTACACAAATTACCCCAATGTATCAGAAAATGACAAGAAATATTAGCAGCTTTTAGATTTACTTTTGTGAAAGCTGCTAAGTGCTACAGTGCAGGTAAAGCTGCTGCTTACCTTTGAGGGCAATGACTTTGCTGGCAGGGTTCATGATGGCGCTGTCAGCAGAAATGGGGCGGCGAATGGGATTATTGGGGTCGGCCATATCGATGATGACCACCTGGGCCTGTTCCCCCACTTTCTCCCTCACACAGATGAACTTGTCGGACTCCATGGTTAGGGTGCTGAAGCCGATGTTGGCTGGGTTGATGCCCAGGTTTTGGAGCTGCCGCGTGAAAATCAGAACCATTTGATGACCAACAGTTTACTGCAAAAACTAAAAACTCTCATACAACTGGTGCACCATTTATAGTACGACAACTTAGATATTTTAAAAGAAATAGAGTCAAGCTACACATTGGGCCTCATGCAAGAGCATGTTTGTATTCTTATCCTAAATTTCTCTTACTTTTGTTCGTACAAAGGGTTCGTATGAACATGTCACGTCAGATTCAACAAACTCTTCTATCTTCAGGAAAAGTGTGTAAATGAGCTGCGTGAATTTCACCTGTTCGTATCCAGCTGCTCGTGCACGCGAGAGGAGATTAGCATAATTACCACCCCCAAAACACCGTATAAGGCTGTGTTTCCTGCCTCAGATATCAGGAAGTGTTCATTCATGAAAAATGACAGTGAAAACTAAAAAGAAAAACTTTACGAGTTCAGAGATTGAAGTCCATCTGTCAGAGATCCAGAAAATAAAATCTGTCGTTTTTAGCACATCAGCTGTGGAATAAAAAGAGCTGCTAAAAGTATAAACAACTGTGTAACTGTGCCCCCCCCCTATCGCAGGTGGTCTCAGATGCAGGTCTGAAATAAGCATTTTAAAATGTTTTCAAAATAAGTCTGGTACTTTGGAGGAAACCCAGGACTCGCTGGAGGGATTATGCGTCCCCTCTGGCCTGGGAACGTCTCGGAGTCCCCCAGGACGAGCTGGAAAGTGTCGCTGGGGAGAGGGAAGTCTTGGTCTCTCTGCTGCCCCCGAGACCCGATCCCGGATAAGCCGGCCGGACGGACAATTTATATTGTTAGTCTAAATTATTACATTTAAAATTATAACTCTAATTCAAGCAGAATAGCCTATTGTCAACATAATCATAGAGTTTGATTTATTTTCAACTCAAAATATCTTCAAACTAACGAAATATAAAGTTATTAATGAAGAAAACCCATCTGGATAACAGCAGACTGACTGGTCGTAAAATATACGACAGGTCTGGACCACTCGTGAATTTTGTTCGTATCTGAAAAAAATCTTAGAATACGAAAACATTGGTGAATGCCACAAATTCTCCTAAATCACTCGTACGCACAATTTAAGAACAAATCTGTGCGTACGAACGGTTCTTGCATGAGGCCCATTGAACATAGTGTTAGAAACAAAAACTATTCAAGAATCAATATTACATAAGACAATATACACTGAACAACATAAATACAAAATAACAAAAATGATGATCTGAAATATTGTGTACAAATCATTTACCTGTTAAGATTAATTGTCATTATTGTGAGGAGTCTGACATTCACAGTTGAGGTTTTATTTTGCCTAAATGAAGATGGCCGCCACAACCATTTTACAAATATTATTAATCTTGGTGGTGGAGGTAGTAAACGCAAACAGATTACAATACATACAGCTGTATCTAAAATGTTTGACCAAAACTGCTGTAASTTTATTTCTCATTAGAAAGTCTTCTTAGTCTAAAAATCTGACATAAAAAGGCTTCAAGGAATGATAGATCTTTAATTAGTATATACGGTCTAAAAGGCAAAAAGAAACATGGTTATTAGAGCTAGGGTTGGGCAATATTGGCAAAAAAATTAATCACGATTAATTGTGGTATTTAGCCGATAACGATTAATTTGATGATTAATGCCGAGTCCCTGGACACCCTTATTTCGTAGTAACACGACCAGTTTAGTGGGAAAGATTTGCTTTTTGTAAAAAATTGTTCCAAATTGTGTGAAAATTACAGATTTCAGTCTATACATCATATTTTAAATTGTGTAGATAGATAAATAAATTACAGAACTTTATTTTAATGTTCGTCATATTTGAAGCGGAGAGGAGCAACAAGCAGACTGACCGGATTAATCCCCAGTCAGTCTGCCTGGTGGCATTAATTGTATTAATTGTCAAGTGCCAAAAAATAATCGATTAATGTTTTTCTGACGATTAATTGCACACGATACGATTATGCCCAACCCTAATTAGAGCCTCCAGTTCCCTGACTGCATTTGTGTCTACATTCCCCTCACCAACCAAGATATAAACAAGTTTAAAAACACTAATGAGATGTTAGATCTCTCCTAAATTGTCCTTTTCAGTCCGTAAACAACCGTATGACCTGCTAAACACCTTAACAAAAACTAGYACAGGTTTCTTGAGACCGCATAAAACATATTTACACAAAGTTGCTCTAAAAGTCCAAATTCACTATTCTCAAAGATTCAGTTAAAGAAAAACAAACCGTCTCACTAACAAAAAAGTGCACAAATATGTTTAAAATGTTTCTTTCCAAGTGTAGAAACAAAGTTGGCTTATTCCCAAAGTTTTATAATCAATTTCATACATAAATATTTGTTAGAAAACAGTCTGAAACTAAATTAAACAGCAGCAATGTGCAAATAACAACGCTTAATTCTAAAGAAATATTACTTAAACTCATTAAAGGCTTGCAATAAAGTCAGTCTCCTTAAAAGCAAAGGGGGGGCTTAAGACTTTTGCACAGCATTGTATGTTATTTATAGTATTTATGTATTTTTGTTAGTGGACCAGGTAGTTCAGTTGGAATGACGTCCAGGGTAGAAAGCCCTGGTTAAGAGCCGATCAGCTGAGCAGAAACAGGCCTGTCGTGACACACACCATCCTGTTTCTGACGTGATGCTGCACTTGTCACTGCAGCTCACCGTGATTTAAGCGCATCTTTATTACAAACTGTCCTCCCGACAATTTGTGGCATTACAGCAGCGGCATTTTTTTTCCTTTACACCTCGTTAATCCGTGACACGGYTTAGCGACCGAATGAAAGTGTTGACTGTGAAATAAGTGTGGTACAAAATAAAGAAATAACGGGACTCCAGCATCCCTCACTCACAGTAACCCGTTAGCTGAAGCTAATAGCTCGTCGGGTAATTAAGCTAGGCGATACRTCAAACATTGTGGGGAAAAAAACGCTTTTTTAAAGTAACATTTGTGCAAGATTACGAAGTTTGTTTATCYGTGTGGATAAGCATGAGCGATATGACTGAAAAAGAAGGGCGTAAAGCTGGTTCTTYAGCTGATGGATAAACAGGGGGAGGGGAGGTCATTCATTTGCTGCGGGTATTTGACGTTCACCGCTTAGCTTAGCTAGCGACCTGTCAAACGATTGCTACAGGGGAAATGTGACAATTAATGGAAACGCTATGCATTAAATACGTATTAAATTYGTCCACATACCTGCAGGTGCTCCTGGAAGCGGATAGGCAATATCTGAGCCATGGTGGTGGTTTCCTTGAGCTCCTCCGGAGTCCTGAAATTGTAGCCGCTGCAGCTAGTTAGCTGGGCAGTAGCAGCACCGCGCTAGCTAGCTACGACCTCCTCACTGTAGGTCGGAGCCAGCCAGTGAAAAAAAAAAATGCTGCACGACGGAACAAAATCACGACAAGGTGCGCTGGTAGTCGTGTTTCCGAAATTTGATGCCACCAAAAAGCGTTGGAGTCGACGCGCCTTCCGTGAATGTTCCTCTGCACAGCAACGATGGATGGCAGCGGCTGATCTGCTCTCTGAAATCCGCAATGGCGGCGGAAGCAGCAGCAGACTTCTTCCCTCTCCGGAAACATCCAGGGAGATCTGGAAGGACACTGGCTTTAAGTGTTCAGTTTCCAAGTTTGTTTAATTCATTCAAAAATTACAATTTACCTCCCCACCGGCTGTTTCACATTGTACCATGAAATTATCTTATTATTCAACCATGTGAGTCAGTTCAACTAATTAGTTTCTTTCCTTACACCCCAAAGCAAACCTTTAGTTTTATTACAATAACCATAATTTAACAAGCTGAAACCAAGAGGCACTGGGTTTGTATAAATTTAGAAACCCACGTTTCAAATTTTGCCTCAGAATGTATAGTTATCTTTTATCTATTTATTTTAAAAAATAACTTAAGACAAGTACCTAACTGGGGATTATATCCTGTGTCACAACTCTGACATGCAAAGTTGAATTTATTTAGTTTGGAAAACAGCCTTTATTTTTAATTATAATAAAACTTCAAGTTATTTGCATTTTAGTTTTATTCCCTCTTGACAAATCAGGAGCTATTAAAAATATTCCTGTTTCTTTAGTCTATTTAGAAAGGCAACTTTTAAAATTCCTCCTGCAAATTTTTTAAATTCAGTTTGACCACCTTCACAAATCTTCCACTACCATTAGGCAGCATTTTAGGGTAATTAATAATGCAGCTTATTAGATTTAAAAGAAAGCTTTAGAAGGTCATGATTTGTAAAATTCTTAACAAAACACAGCCCTGTAAGGATGTAAAAAATAAAAACACTCAGGACAAAGTTGTGCATTTTAAAAAGCAGCTGTATTCTGTAATCGACTATAAAGGCATTTCTAGTCCAGTGTCTCTAAGCCATTTTATTTATATTTCAGTGTAAAAAGCCTAACTATTAGAAAAAGAAAAC